GGACATTTCCCATAAATATATTTTGGGACTTTCTTGTACACAAAACACACACCTCACTTTTATTGCCCCCCGCCCCAACCCCCAATGTTTACAATAACACACCCTTTTTGACTGGTTCTGTTCTTTCTCTCATTACGTTGGTGAATTACATTTCAATATAGTGGTCCCCCCCCTCCCCCGTTCAGCTGCAACTAATTGAGGATTTTAGAGGAAATTAGTTAAAAATGAAGGTTTATATGAATAACGTGCCTACTTCAAGCAGGAATAATTGGGTGTAATTCATAGCTAAAAGCCTGAAACCACTTTATCTAAATTAGTGCTGAGTAAATAAGAGTTTGGAGATCATTGCCCAAATCTGATGTTATGTAAAACATCAGCTCAGAGGATTCAAACTATTCCTTCTATGTGAAGAAACAGTTTCCTTTTGCCACAAGGTGGCAATAGACTCCACAAAATTGTTTGCATTCAGGCTGAAACAACATTGATTGCCGAGGGAGCTGTTTATGATCAAATTTGGCACCCAGAAGAAGCAAAATTTGGGGGCATGGGTCCAAAGAACTATGAATTGTGCTTCGGGCTTTTTTTCCCCAGACAGAACTTGCTGGAACTGAATTCTGGCACCTCTCAGGTGGGCACCCTTGCCGTTATTAGAGAACAAGGGAGGCGTTCAGGCTGAGTTCCAGCACATCTTTTTCTAGAAAAATAGAACTGATTGCAGAAAACATGGCCTCGGAAGTCTGCTCCGAAGGGAACGTGGACCTCGGGGTGAAAGAATTTTCCATTCCTTGCCTGGGTGTCTCTGCACTGAGGTTCTCCTTCTCTTCCTCTGGCTGAACTGATGATTGGCAGGGAGGTGAAGACATTTCCCCTCTTTAGCAGGCTCCATGAGCACCTCTAATTTGGGTCCCTTTCCACACATGCAAGTGGAATGCATGGGATTCCCTGCCACAGACCGTTCATGTAAGGATTTTCATCCCATGCTCTGAGGGCACACAAATAAATGAATAGATACTAGATTGGGCCAGTGCAAGTGAATAAATGTGAACCTTAACACCAAGTGCTTGACTAGTCAATGACAAACAAACCATATGGAGGGCTTTGTTTTTGTATGTTTCAACCTCAACATTTTCTGTCAGTCTTGGGCTTTAAAGGCTAGAGCACGCCAAATCTGTTATGATTACAAAAGCTTTTCAGGAGCTTCTCTTGTAAGCCTGTTGTTTTTCCAATGAGAGGAAAACAACAAGCCCATACTTAAAACTGCGACTGCAAGTTATAATCAATATAATAGGTATACTGACCAACGAAAGCTTGGGGGCAATTTTTTATCCATTGGTCTGAGGCTGAGGGACACAATTTGACACGAGGTCTGCAGGGAAGGCCCTTTTCGTTGTACCCCTGCTAAATAAAGCCTGGGTTCCTGGAAATTCTTGGTGGTAGCACCAGTTGTGGAATTATCCAGGGTGGCCTTTTGTTGAGGGAAGATTATACACAAAGCTAGAACTTGCATTTTAGATGTTTTGATGATTTTTATGACAGCTTTATACAATTTTACATGTGACTTGCCCTGCGATTCTTTTTTGAGGAGGTGAGATATGATTTTTTTACATATAAAACAAGAACGGTAATTATTATTATTATTTTTTAACATTTCTTTAGGAAGCTGTTTTGGCTCCAGCATTGCTCCAAATAATGAGTGAAGAAGAAAGTAGTAAAGACAACATTTTCTTTTTATAACCAACAGTCAGTTTCATTTAACAGATTGCAAATTCCCACGTTATAAAAAAAGAAAAGAAATTCATATTAAAATTTGATAGCGTAGCAATGCATTTAAATGCCATTGATACCTCATTTGATGGTTAGCTAACAGTGCAATCCTATACAGGTTTACTCAGAAGCAAGACTCATTGCATTTAGTGTGACTTAATCCCAGGTTAGAACTGGGGCCTAAAAGCATTAGGGAAAAGGCCATAGTTCAGTGGTAGTGTGCATGCTATGCATTTAAGAGGTCTCTGCTTCAACCTCCACCATGCTGAGAAAGGGCTGGGCAAGACTTCCATCCAAAAACACAGAGAACTGCACTTGGCATAGGCCATAATGAATTAGATCGACAAATGCAAAAGGGAACATTTTAAACAAAAATGATAAAACATCTCTAATTAGTGTTGATTTTTAAAGCTTTATTTTAGCAAGAAAAAATACATATTTCCCAGGTTCTATTGCATATATATAATCAGCCTTAAATAGCCTTAAATAAATTAGAAAAAGCTAGCAGGGCTTTATAAACTAACCATCAACTTCCATAAAAGGAACAGCATTGTCCTAATGCGAACAATATGTATTTGTGAGCTATTTTACAACATGGGTGACAGCTTGGGTTTTAAAGTTGTTTCCATGTTGCAGCTTTCTGTTCTGGACTGGAATGTTTTGATGCTGCTATATTAGTTCAATGTATGTATATTTTACATTATCATTATTAATAGAAGAAAACAAAGGAAAACATGTTATCTTCAATGAAAGATACGTTCTATTTTCTTCTAACAGTATGGTGATTATGTTTCCTTTGTATATCATGTTACAAGATTCCCATTTTTTAAGCATCCCTAACACAAAATAGGCTATTTATATCCTAGCTAGATTTGCTACTGAATTTTGCGTAATGTGAAATTCTAAGGTGTTGGGTGTTTGTTTTTTGGTGTTGTTGTTTTTTTTTTCTAAGGTGACATTTCTGGGGAACCTCAAGGGAAATCAACAGAAAATTTCTCAGCAGAACCCTCCCTTTCTTCGCTGTCATTCATCTGAAGTTACATTAATGCAGGATGAGTCATGTCAATATGTGCAGTAGGTGTGGGGAATCTGGGAGCTAAAGAATAAACTCTCCAAACAGTCAAAGAAACTGATAAGAGTGGAACCTTCGTGGACACTGAATTTTGCCTAGAATGAAGTTTCAAGGCAAGTGTGGAGAGCACAAGCAATTTCAATGAGGCAAGCAAGAATTCCCCATGGGGATTCTAAACATCCCTAATCCTGAAATCACAGATTATCTATAGTATCGCAAGGATTATTCATTTATTATTTTGCATTTAAACTTCAGATATGTGAAGAGGCAGCCAGATAATAACATAGCAAAGTTGGGAATCCAACCCCGATACTGGGGGGGAAATAGAAAGATATGTGACCCACTTGCAAATGAGAACAATAATAATTGCATATTAACACTGGGACTTTTTCACGCTCACAAGAGCCACCCATTTCTGCGAAGAAGACAGAGTGTGAGACGGCACTTCATGGATCTCAGCTACAGCCGCTTTCGTGGTCTCTGAGGTACTTTTGGAAGTGCGGCAAGTTGCCGCAGCTCAGATCCATCTGCTACTGACTTGCAAGTTACAGTCCTCATGGGAACTTCCATGGGCAAAAAAAAGTGTTCCAAACATATGAACGTAAGTGTCTCTGGATATGCAATTCCTAAGCAGAAAATAAACCCCATTATGAGCAACCCAATCCCAAAGCGCTGCAGTGGTGTAGAAGTGGCACTTGTAATTGTCTGCTTGACAAGTGCAACGCCGCCACCACCAGCCAGCACTGTTGGGAACTCATGGGGCAGGAAGCAGCCAAACAGAGCTGGATGTATCCTGTGGTCATGGAAGAAGAAGAAGAGTTTGGATTTGATATCCCGCTTTATCACTACCAGAAGGAGTCTCAAAGTGGCTAACATTCTCCTTTCCCTTCCTCCTCCACAACAAACACTCTGTGAGGTGAGTGGGGCTGAGAGACTTCAGAGAAGTGTGACTGGCCCAAGGTCACCCAGCAGCTGCATGTGGAGGAGCGGAGACGCGAACCCGGTTCACCAGATTACGAGTCCACTGCTCTTAACCACTGCACCACACTGGCTCCTGGCTCCACAACCGGTCCATGCTTTCATCTGTATCTGTGTTGCAGTTATAGATCAGTGTTTCCCAAACTTGGGTCTCCAGCTGTTTTGGACTACAACTCCCATCATCCCTAAGCTAGTGGGACCAGTGGGCAGGGATGAGGGGGATTGTCCTCCAAAAATAGCTTGAGACCCAAGATTGGGAAACCCTGTTATAGGTAGTTGTCACCACAAAGGGATCCCGAGCGTTGAGCAGGATGAGTGATGCCAGTGAGGGATTCTTTAAATATAATAGCCTCTATCCCTTCAGCCACAGATTCATTATTTGCAGTGGGACCACGAGAAACAGTGAATTGGCAGGAAAGCTGACATGCCCTAAGACAGGGGTCAGCAAACTTTTTCAGCAGGGGGCCAGTCCACTGTCCCTCAGACCTTGTCAGGGGGTAGACTATATTTTTTTGGGGGGATGAACAAATTCCTATGCCCCACAAATAACCAAAGATGAGCAGAAGGTAGTCCCGAACCCACCAGTGGAATAAAGGCCAATATCCTGTGAATGTCCCAGCGCCTGCTGGTTGATGAGATTCTTGCTTTGAGTGCTAGCTTAGGTAAACTTTGGTGTTATCCAGCAAAACGAATAATGGAATCTGTTGTATGCCCAGTTAACAATGAAATGACAGGCTGGGATCAAACCTAAAATTCTATTGCATGCCACCAAGCATCTGTTAAGTATAATTTTAAATAGCAAATTATACAGTAGTAAATAATAAACATATAATTAGTAAACTCGATAAAATAATAAACTCAGTGTCTGCAACATGTAAAAAGTGGACTGCATGTCAAACGGGAGCTTAAACAATTAAAAACTGCACTGGGCATCAAACTACAGTACCCACTAGGTTTTCAGATGGAAGTCTTCACCAGGTCCTTTTGTATGTGCTCCATTACTGAGCTGCCAGTCAGACGAGACAGTACTGAGTTCAGGAGAAGGCAGCTTCCTATGCCTACTCATTTAACAGAAAATGCCTTAACTGTTATGCAGTCCTGGGCATGTTCCCTTGCTATCATAGAACTGCAGAATTGTAAGGCAGCCTGAGGATCATCTGGTCCAACCCCCTGCAATGCAGGAATATGTATCTTCCCCATCCAGGGATTGAACCTGCAACCTTGGCATTATCAGCACCACACTTTAACCAACTGAGCTATCCATATTCATATACAACTTAATTGCAGGCCATGGAGATTCTCCGGGAGCTAGGGAATAAGTAGACCATGCTTCCTGTTACCCTGGTCACAATCTACACATCTGACAATAAAGGAACGTACAGAAAGGATGTTTGCAAACCTTCCATTTTAACTCTTTTGCTATAGATGAACATCTGGAGTGGTATTTGGGGAGAAATATAGAGCTTACATGTCCCTTTTTCACATCGCAGCTTCAGATTTACCATCTGGTAGAATTTAGGTCAAATCTGCTGCTATTTGATGAATGCAGGCTTAATCTTAGTAATGCTCCCTGCCGCTACACAAAGTTTCTCAGAATAGTGCACACTGGCATTGGTGCTTTTTAAAAAACAAAAAAACTTAACAATGACAATAGGGAATAGTCACCACTGAAAAGTTTAATTAAATGGAAAGGTTTATGACTTTTAGCCTCTAAGATATTCCTTAAATATTCCATATTTGTAATTGCAGTTCAGGGACAGAGAGGTTGCTACACGTTTTCATTAACTGTTAAGACCTTTGCAGATGGCACTGCAAACACACGCGTGGGCAGGGTTTGTGTACGCTACCCCTGCATGGATGGCCCATACAGCATGCAGACTTTCCAATCACATGGATGGCCCCCTACATCGTAAGAGGAGCCCTGCTGGATCAGACCAAAAGCTCACGCAGTCTAGAATTCTATCTCCACAGTGGTTAACCAGATGTCTAGGGAAGTCTACATGCAGGGCATGTCCCATACATGATCCTCAGCAACTGGTATTCAGAAGCATGCTGCCTCGATACAAGAACTAATAGCTATATAAAGCCATTGACTGTTCTTTGCATATAATCTTCAGTTATTACAAAAGGGGCAAGACTGGGGTACAACACCTGACCACCACCACCCCGATCTCTGACACCCTGCCAACCTACATTCGACAGGCCACACCTTTACGGTCAGAGTAAAGTTCATCTGTGATGTGTTTCAGTGGTACACTTACTGACACAGTTAGGTTTCCCCAAGGTATGTCTGACGAAGACATGTTTTTGGACTGCCAGTATCGCAAAGTATTATTGCTGGGGTTGTCTGGTTCCATACAGCTGCATCTGAAAGTGGGGGGAAAGGAAAAAGCCTGATCATTTATAATCTTAAAACTGGCAAGTTGCATCATTGGAATTCCCTAGGAAGTCTGTGACAACAATATACAGTGGTACCTCGGGTTAAGTACTTAATTCGTTCCGGAGGTCTGTTCTTAACCTGAAACTGTTCTTAACCTGAAGCACCACTTTAGCTAATGGGGCCTCCTGCTGCCACCACGCCGCCGGAGCACAATTTCTGTTCTTATCCTGAAGCAAACTTCTTAACCTGAAGCACTATTTCTGGGTTAGCAGAGTCTGTAACCTGAAGCGTATGTAACCCGAGGTACCACTGTACAAGATAAATGTGGAGGAAGCCCAGTCCTTGGGAATACCTCTGTACCTTTCAGAGTTGAACACTGAATTAAACCATGTACAGCTCTCCACATCACCATGATGCCAGAGCAGGTGGATCTCCTTTCCATGAAATACCATGAATCGTATAAGGAGCTGTCTCTCTGAGTTTTGACCTGGCAACCCTAGACTGATGCATGCTTTTAGATTGCAAAGTGTCCTGAGTCTGGGCAACGTTAAGCTGATGGGCCTTCCCTGACTCTGAAGGAGGACATTCAATCTATGGGGTTTGGTCTTCCACAGCCTCTGAAAGTGAAGAAAGCCCTCTCAAATACGGTAAATCCAAAATGCACTTTTGGGGCATGGGCTTCAAGATTTGCTCTCTAGTCCAGTCTATTTTGTCTCTCAAGCCTCTTCTCTGACTGGCAGTAGCCCTCCAAGGTGTTAGCCAGAAAAGGCTATTTCCCAGAATAATAATCTCTGATCCTTTTAACTGTAGATAAAAAGTGTGCATTATTAACATCTGAGGGACATGTGGCAAATGCTAGAAGGAAAGTATGGGACTTAAAAGAAAAATGAATACCACAGAAATTGGATCTATAAATGGGAAATATGGAAATTGTACAAGCAGGCTGTGCCCAATAAAGAAATCTTTCACCAAAGACAGAAAAACCAAATGTTCCGCCTCCAACAATATCTGACAATTGCCGCCACTCAGCAGTATTCTAATTCCTCCACCAGAGGCAGCCATGCCATTCTATGTATAAGGAACATAGTATAGTAAATATTAAAAACTAAACTAAACTTCAAAAAATACCCACTGAATATTGCAATATTCATTTGTGAGAATTGACCATTTTTCTACAATTTGGGGTGGAGGGTGGCTTACCATTCCATTAAAGGTGGCCGAGGTTTTCTCTGCTTTTTGTTAAATCCTTTTTTTAAAAAAAAAAGTTTTGTTGCCACTTGATGTGGAGGTAGAATTGCCTAAGCAACCTAGTGGTTTCCCTTTCTACATTATTATTATTATTATTATTATTATTATTATTATGTTGCTTGTAGACCTTTGGGTAGCAAGTGATTAACATTTCAAATAAGAAGAACCATAATGGTAATAATCAGTGCTTTTTTCCTAAAAAAAAATGTTTGGGGTACTCTCATTTTCCTACTCATAATGAAATACTGCCCCTCAATGAGGCCAAACTTAGATTCACAAAATGTTTAGGGGTATGCGCACCCCTGCGTCCCCGTCCCCCCCCGAAAAAAGGACTGGTAATAATAAAATTACTTTTATTATCATTATTATTTATTCTATTTGTTAATCACTTGTTACTCTAAGGTCTCCAAGCCACATGCAACATACTTATAACCATACACATAAATGCACTTACCATTTAAAAAGATCATACGAAACATATACAATGGGATGCCCCAGTGGGAACAATACAATAGCGTAATATCATTCCCAGGGATGCACTTTGGGGAATGGAAATATGGCTACCACCAATTCCCAATGGAATGATCAATTCTCCTCAAACATTTCTGTATATCTCCCACCCTTTTTTTGAGGAAGAATTGGTCCCATGGAGGAAGATAATCAGCTCAGCTTTATTTTTAAAAAAATCCCACTTATTTAGGCCATGTTGCACAGCATTACAATTATTTTATTATTTTCCTGCTCCACAGTGGCTTTGAAAGCTTTTGAACTGTTAGCTAAACGTAGGAATGGCAGAAAAGGCTCTGTGTGGGTGTCCAAATGTTCCAAACACCAATTTAAATTAAAGCCTAAAAAGTAACGGTGGGAGGTTTGTTATTTTTCAAGGATCTGAGGAGGGAGCCTATTCTTTTGTACACCGGTCAAAAAAGAAGGAGGGAGCTGAAGTACCTCTTTGAGAGCTACAGTGTCACAAGACATAAGAGCCATAGTATTACAAACCCATAGGCACAAAAAGACACACATCCACACACAAGCTCAAGCTGTATGTGGAGATCTTTCAGGTTAAATCTGAGGGTAGGATACATCTTCATTTTTCTAATTAACCACTGTTGCATTTCTCATAACTGTTAATTGGGTGTTCTGCCTTACACACACACACGTGTACACACGTACACACACACACACACACACACACACAAAGAATGTGGAATATGGCTCTGCCCGTGCTCCTTCCAGACAGATGTGTTTGGCTGGCCACACTACCCAGGGGCTGTGTGTTTGGTATTCATAGAACTGTAGGCATGCAGGGCTTCTCTACCTTTGCACAACGCTGACTGGCAAGGGTTCCCACCTGGGAAGAAGAGCTATATGTGCATTGCAGCCCCTTTCCTCATCAATACTGAATCCTGACTGACGGAGGAGACACAGACAGCTAGTGTCTTCTTGCTAGCCCCTCATACATCCAATGAATTCATGAAGGGGCTTGTGTGGACCCTACGCTTAGGGTATTTGCATATGACCGCAATTGGTCCATAGGCCAAACTAAGGAGGACTGTGATGTACTCTTAAAAACGGAGCATCAAAGACATTGCTAGGCAACAGTATGACGGTGCACAGATTTCTGGGTAATTTCAAACTTCTGGGTAATATCTTGCCACAAGCTTACTCGGTGCATATGTCCTGATTGGTCCCAGAAAGGCCCAGTAGTGGGCTGACCTTGGACAACATCCAACCAGTGTGATATAAGGGTAATAGAAAATGCAGAGAGAAGTTTGAACTTAGGTTGTACATGAATGTACAATGAATGCAAGGCTGAGGTCAATGCCAAGCTTGGAATTTTCAAGAAAGGCAGGTGAGAGCACCAGTGGACACTATCCACTGAACACAGCATACTTTCCATTCATTTCAATGGTCCTAGCTGCCACAAAAACCTGGTGGAAATATTGGATGAGCAACAGCAGCAGCATTGTTTGGCTGGCTGAATCCACTGACGTCATTCAGGCTGAACACATGTCAAAATGACATGAACTTGGCACCTTAAATACCTCTGAGAGTGGGATGTTATGCTCCCAGTTCTTAAATACATGTCATGGACAGATTGTAATATGCATATCACTATGCCAGAAGTGCTTAAAATTATTCAGCATAATCTGTTAATAATTGAGAGGCTTCTGGTAAAGAATTCTTCTTTGTTGTTGTTAGAAAACACAGATTCACCATTCACAAAGTACAAAAAAAGGTTAGGTAGAAGGGGGGGAAGTGTTTGTTTGTTTTTAAAGTGGGCAGGTCATGAACTAATACCTGGACTTGAAATATTGAGCAAAGACCATTTACTTTCACCACAAAAAAAGCTGGCAACATTTAAAATGATTTCACAATCCTGCTTCCCATGGAGTAAAGAGCCAGCACATTTAACTTTCATTTGCTGCTTTAGATCTCATCAGCATTTATACCTCAAATGACAGAAGATGCAGTTTCGGCAAGGAAATATATCCCATGGTTCAAGGCCTATAAGGAAACTAAACATTTTAGCCTAGTATGTTTCCTGCTATGCTATTAACCCTATTAATAGGGTTTCAGTGTCTCCTCCAAACTAATAGCCTGGACTGAACGTCACGTTAAACCATAGTTAG